AGCATTCTCCTCCTACCTCAAATATTTATACCATATTTTAATACAACAAAATATTGATATAAAAATTTATCGTCATGTAATTGACCTCTTTACTGATATCTTGAATTTATTTCATATTTTTAAAGAGATAAGTGCTATATCAGTTTTAACGGAATTAATCGTTGAATGGTTTATGATATTTTTTTTAGCCGAAATATCTGATTTAAGATCGAATTATATTGAAACTTTTTTTTGTGTAGTATTCCATTATTATTTTTTTCTTATTATTATCACTAATCATAATATTTCACAATATAAGACTAAAATTATCAATATTTTGCAAGCAAAACTAAATTGAAGGCGGGTAAAATTGATATTTCATATATTTTATAAATATCAGATTTAATTTATTATTTTTTAGTTAAACGTTTTATATACACAGTATTTAATAATTGGTGATGCTTGTATTTCTAACTATAATGGATTTGAGCTAAGTTCGAGATTTGCTATTAAACTGCTACTCCATCTAATATATTTGTTCATAGTTATAAAGTTAAATACAGCTCTTTAACTAAAAATGTTTATTAAAAATTTTTTATAAATTAAATAAAATAAAATGTTTTCAAATGTTTTAAGTTTTTAATAAAATTTTTATAAATAAACGCTCAACTATCGTGAACCTGATTTTATCATATATTGTGTGAATTAGAACTTGTAGTTCTAATTTTGGAAAGTTATCTTGTGTTAGTTTTTCTTTCAATGCATATTGGTCAAAAAGTAAAAAACTGACAACTGTAAGTCTCCTTATTTTTATGTACTTTTTATAATAAAAAAAAAATTAAAATTAAAACATTTTAAAACGTAGAACTACTAAAATAACAAAGTGTTGTTGCTAACAAATTTGACATCTACTCTATTGCAATCAACATATGGTATACGTATAAAAACTAAAAAGCTAAAAATCCTTTAGTCTTCCTTAAGGAAGAAGTGACATAAACTTCCAAACATCGTATGAAGTTTATATAGATAACTATATGAAATAAAAATAAAAATAAAAACCAACTTAAAAGTTTTTTATTTAACGACTCACGGAAGTCTTTCAAAAACTGAAATAAAAATAATTTATTATTTTAATTTTATTTAATATTCTCGAATGTGAAGATATATAATAAAAATTATTAAAAATAAAAGTAAAATAAATATACACCCAATTACTAAACGTATAGACTTTACATATTTTACCCAATACAGTCAAACAAGCACGATTGCTAGGCCTGGCTTTTTAAAAGGAAGATTGTTGTCATATCCAATATAATTGACCACCAATAACTAACTATTTGAAGCTAATATGATGAACACGCTTATAGCACCAATTATATATAAATTGCTTATTACTATTATTAATATTATTTCTTTCTCCCATGTACTGAATTTTTTGCTATGTTATAAAAATTTTTAACATATCTATAACCTATGTTAGCGAATTAGCGAATTTAAATAGGATTTCAACAGAAAACTCAGGTATGTGCTCCAGTCCGGTAACACTAACAACCAGGGTTTCTTGTGCATTGGTCTAGTTGCATTTCCTACTAGCATCAATAAAGATAATAAATAAAATATTATACAGAATAATTTATATAGATATTTTCGTTATAAGATGATTTAATAAAATATCATTATTAAAGTAATTTTGTTAAAAAATGCAATTAAAAAAGATGAATTTTATTTATTATACAGGATAACTTATATAGACATTTTTCTTATAAGATGATTGAATACAATATCATTATTAGAGTACTAATATTAGGAATTGCATTTGGTAAAGATGATTACTATTTTACAGGATAACTTAACCATTTACCATATAACATAATTGAATTCCATTATCATTATTACAGTAGTTATATTAAGAAAAACATTTTTATATGTTAACATATTACGATAGTTGCGATACTTAATGAAATTAATTAGAAAATAACACTTTTGTCTCTAGTTACTTGTTTCTTGTACAATCCATCACATAATGCACTTTATATGCATGTAACCACAAATCTTACGTGTCACATGACAGCGCATTTTATCTTTTCGTAGTTGCAATAGCGGTTAGGCGATTGTTAATGTACGAAACGATAAACTAAATTAAAATTGCGTGTCAACTAACGAGGAATGCCTTTATTTTTCAAATCCACAACTTCGAACGAGCAGCAACGTCGTGCGCCTATATTTATGCCACACTTCTCCACTATAACCCATTTCACAGAAACTTGTTTATGCATTCTGAATAGAATTTGTTGCGACATATCATAAAATTGAAAACAGGAAAGTGCAACCATTGCTTGGAAAATGTATTTCATAATTTATTTTCGCGATGTTGACATATTCAGAGCCTAGAATGTACATTTCATTTTCAGTTTCAATCGGTTTTTCGTTGCATTTTTATTTTATTGCAGTGCACATTCCTTCTACGTCTACTCGTAGTACACTTTCGCATAGAACCGTTTCACATGCTTTTTGTACCTCATATTCGGGTTTATTTCGATTCGTACGAAAGGTATACACATTAAAGTAATCCTGTTGCCGGATATACATATAAACCACAAATGCTTCACCAGTTCACCCACCCATACATATTACTCGTATAGCACCTAGAAGCGCACGAAGGTTATAGGGATACCCACACCGTGTTGAAGTGTTAATGCAAACGCAACTGAAATTGATCGCTTTTATGCAAATTAGTTTGCTTAACATGTTTGTTTAACCACAGCTGCAAAAGGTGAACATATCAAAGCCGTACGAAAAAAAAATTCACAAAATAAAAACAAACCAAAATATGCTGAATTATATACAAATTTTCCCATTACTTTTTATATGAAGTGCAGAATAATTCAATTTAAGTTTTTTAATCTTGTTCACTTTTTAACTTCACACAACTTTGGTTGAAATTAAATAAAATTTCAGAAACAGCAAGACCAACAGCCGCAGCTGTATACCACCTATACGCAGGTATATTCAAATAAACAAAAATGTCCACCCTCATTTAAATGCAGCATTTAAAATACAATACTTGAAAGGCGCAGCATATTCGCATATTCCTTCGTAGGAAGGACCTCAAGGCATCACAGCCAAGTTTCATTGCACAACTTTACGTGCAACACAACCGTTAATAAAACGTCAAGTTATGAGTCTTTAACATATTTTGCATTGCATTCGAGTGCAAAACAAATAATAATGCACACAAATATATTTGCACTGCACATAATACTGAATGGGTGAATGGGTGAATGGGTGAATGGAATAAAGTTAACAGGCGACATGATTAACGATGACAACTTCAGTGGAGGCAGTGAAACCAGTGAAGGCAATGAAAGCAATGAAACGCATGACACGAAGTCATTTAGCTATTGCTAGCTAATAAGGCAATCTGTTGTGTTGTGTTATGCATAAGAACACATAACTAACTGGATTAATTTGGCACAATCCAAGTTACTAAGTGTTGCTAATTTTGCTGGCACATTGTAACAAAGTATGATCAACCTATTGTACGCTACTACAATGATGCAGTTAATTAAAAGTCATCTCGCGTTTAAACAAAAAAAAACTAATTTCTGGGTAGTTAATGGAACTGAAATATCACTGTCAAAAAAAAAATCCGGATGCCTAAATGAGATGAAATGAGATGAGATGAGATGAAATGACTGAAAATGATTATTTTTTGTGTTGCTGCAAGAGATTCAAAAATAAAAAAATTAGAATAAAATTACGCAATTAACTTTATGGCTATAGCAATAATGAAATAGAAGGACAGGATTTGATATACGTGAAGTAATTAAAATATATAATATCTGACGTAAAACATAATATCAAGGCATTCCCGGGAAGATAATAAGCCTGTTTGGAAATGGATACCCAGAGCTCCTGGCATTTTCGATAGTAATTGTTATAATGTTAGCTAGATTAGTCAGACTTAAAGATCTCAAAAATGCTGATGTATGTACACTGACCTAAATGTCGCAGACATGCATATGTGTAATATAAATAGGACTGACTCAGCGGCAAAAGTAGAATTGAAATAAACAGCTCTAAAAATTAATACATAGGAAAACATCTAACGGCATTTATATTTAATCGGAAGAAATTTTTTTTTATTAAGAAAACATAAACCTTTAAATAAGGAACATAAATAATAAAGCTAAGAAGCTGGTTGATCCGTTCTACTACAATTCCGCAGTAGAACAGAGCTAAGGTTGTTGGCAGATTATCTGACAGGTCATCCTAGCCTACGTTATTATTTTAACAAAATGAAGCTGTTCAAAAAAACAGAGTGTTGATTTATAGTTATATTTATTAGTTATATTTATATCCCTTGATATTAGGATGTATTCAACAACCTACTTTCTGGCTTTCTTACGAATTGCAGCTGCTGCTTAGTTAGGGTCTAGTATTAGACGCATTTTAGCTACCATATATAAATAAATTTGTTTATCGGCATAAAAGTCAAATCAATAACAATGCGTATATAATATTATAATAGTAAATAGTAAACTATATGTAGAAAAAAAATTAAAGTTTTTCTAACCGAGATTCACGAAAAGTCCTTGTTCAAAGTTAGGTTCTGCCAAAACTGATAGGTATATGCAATTAGACAGACAAACATGAGCAGACTTTACTATGTTTATCTCCGTTGCCAATTTTTAACAAAATTAAAGTATATTTATTTTAAAAATTACGAAGCGAGCTTTAGAAGTTACCCAAAAATGGCTAAAAAAATGTCAATGATATGTCTATAATTGATTTCAATAGAAACCATTATTTAAAAAAACAATGTATTGCTTTTCAATTAACTGACTAATAAGGCTAACCAGTTCCATAATTTATATATTATTTGAAATAATTAAAATAAATATTATTTATTCATAATTATGAAAAACACTATATAAATAATTTCACAAAATAAATATTTTAACAAAAATATTGTTTTTTTTCTCAAAATTTTATTTCTTTTGTTTAATAAAAATAAAAAAAAAATTAAAAATAATATATCTAAAATGTTTACTTAATTTACGTGTATACTCGTTGAAGAGAGTACTTGTAAGTGATTAAAAAAGTATTGTTTATAAAAATTTGGTTTATATAGCATGTTTTGTTTTTTTTTCATTGGATTCAACTGCACCTCAAACATCATTGCCCTCAATGCGTTCATTATCCTCGAATACTTGCTTCTTGATGTCCTCATACGAAGGCACAGTCTGTAATAATAAATAATTTGTTTTACATTTTAATAAAAAAATTTCACAATTCTGATATATAAATATTAAATGGAAATTAAAGTATATATATGTACAATTATTTTCAACCATTTATGCTAAACAAATAAAAATATTTTTAAAACAGATATAAAAATATTAACTAAAAAATGTATAAAACCATATTCAAAAGCATGCTAATATATACAGATAGAAAAAAATTAAATGCAATGAAATAGTTTTTTTGCGATCCAAAGATAATCTTTCATGTATAAATAAACATGATATATGTATGCATATATTTAAAAAATATGTTATAAAAACCGTACAAATATGATATGGATAAATACTTACCTAATTCAATGGTGAAAACCTTTAATGCGCTTCCGATATCAAAAATTTATAAAATGCAAATATGTTTTTTTTTCGGACTGGATTCGCAGGATATGTATTTCCATAGTATTGTATAAATAAATATGTTTAAATGTTCAAAGTTATTTGCAATGTAGTTAGAACAGCATAAATTTTGAAAAATTTTACTAAATATTTTGAAACCTTTTATGGACGACTTATATTAAATTTATCGAAAAATATTTTCAATAAATTGATTCTGAAGTTTAGATGAATTTTTGAAATATTTTATTTAGAGTAAATACTATTTATACACAAATAAATTATTTTTGCTGAATTTTCTTTCAAATAGTCTAATATTTTCATGTACATAAAAAGTATATATATATACACGTATAGGGAATGATTAAATTTAAGACATGTTCACTTTAGCATTATTATTTAAAATCTTACACAATTTAACTAAAAGTCTTACTATGTGTATACATAAAGGATGTATTAACCTAGATACTCGAAGCCACTTTCTAATTAAAGTATAATTTTTAATTAGAGAGACTTTAATTCGCTTGAATAACCAGGACCCTTTTGCATATTTACTTTAACCTTAAATTTACTTACTTTATCAAATAATTAAGTTTTTTGTGCTACATAGCCTGCTTTCTAAACAGGCCCTCGAACCGGAACCGAACCAAATACCGAAAAAACCGGTATTTTTTGCGGGTACGAAAACCGGAACCGAACCTATATATTTTTTTCTCTTGAACCGGAACGATAACCTAGACGGAAGAAATTTCAGTTCGATGCCCTGTATCTAAATTCAATATTTTTAAACTAAATCTGACCTAAATCAATATGCGAAGGAGTATACTTTTTATATTGATTTATTTAGTTATACAGTTCTTTTGGATATGATGTCTGATATTGAATTAATATTGATTATCTGATAACTAATAATAAAATGCAATATAATGTATTATTATATAAATAAGCCATATTTATTAGCCACAATATATGTTCTCTTATAATGTATTTTTTATTATATTTCTTTGGTTATATTATAATTAATATAAAGCATATGATTATGAAACTGCAGCAAACTACAAAAAATATCTAAAAACAAGTATTTTATTGTTTAAATGATGTTAAGTATGTTTGAATTTTAATGAATACATGCAGCAGAAGACGAAATACAAAGCAACTACGAAGCACGCTTGATTCTACTAACCTGCCAGTAGCCATCATCCCAGCTAGGGAACATACGCTTGAATACACGAGGTTCCTGGCCTTGCGTAATACGTATAATACTAACTGTATCAATTGAACGAGCTGTTGGTTCCATATCAACGTATTTCTGTAATTAATTAATAACAAATTAAGTATTAGAAAATAAATAAAATAAAAAACAAATCTTACCTTAGCCATATCAAGAATTTTACCATTCTCATCAGTAGTAGCACCAGTACCAACCCAAATATATATTTCATCACCACCATCCAAAAGCATAATATCATCAACATCAAGATCCTGTATTAAAAACATAGTTTTTATTAAAATTATATCGGTTTAGAAAAATCTTGATTTATTAAAATATTATAATTTTATTTCTTTTTTCTTTCTTTTCTATATGTTTAATAAATATTTGTGTCGGATATAAATTATTATGATTATTATGAAACTATAATAAGTAAAACATATTAAACACTTCTGTTCAGGTAAAATATATTTAAAAAATATTAAATAGAAAATACTTACTTCCTGTTCGAAATTGCCAACTTCTTCGACTTTAATGCGATCACCATGCACCAATCGACAATGGAATAGACGTGGTTCCAATAATGGTGCACCACCTTCGTCAATACTACGATCATATATTCCTTCACCATTCAAATCATCCCAGAAGTCATCTGGTTCAGCACCTTCATCAATCACATCCAATTCAGCATCCGGCCAGAAGTATTGGAATCGTTCAATTGCCATATTCTTCTCAAAATCTGAACCAGCCTAAAAATGTAATTTTCTTAGTACATAAATATATTACTTAAATGTTTATGAAAACACTCACCAATCCAACCCATATGAATATTTTGGTGCCTTCTTCAGTTACTAACGCGAACACATCACTAGTAGCCAAAGATGAAGAATCTCGTTTTACTTCACTGGCATGTACGTCAGTTTCATCAGTACCACGTATACGGAACAATTCTGGTTGTGTTGGTTTACTATGCAATGGAGTTATCAATTTGCCCTTGAATATCTTCAGGAAATGCCTTGGTTCATAATTTTGTGCAGTACGCACAAGTATGGCATTTTGATCTAAAGCCATAGCCATGGCCTCTTCAAAGGCGCGTTGTTTTATGCCCTCACTCGCTTTTAAGCCTTCCCAAACATAAATAATAACACCAGTCTCTCCACTCTTGGATGTGTATTTATATGGTACAATATAGGAGCTATAGCCATAAAGCTTTAGTTTGTCATTATAATGTACTATACGACGAACAATTTCATTACTGCCACGCACGCTCTTAATACGAATAATCTGAAAATATAAGTCAAAAAATCGAGAAATTAATATACGTGTATATTTTAAAAATATTAAGTAAACAATTAGTAGTATTTGTATTCAAATCAATATTAACATATTCTTTCACCTCTTCAATATTATTATTATTATTAATATTGAAGAGGTAATACCCCTGGTATCGCCGGTATAACCTAACCTAACCTACCTCTTCAATATCATTTTGTCCATTGTCCGGCATGAAACCCATAGCTCTGCCTCCACTCTTCTTTAAGTTATTAACAATTGCATCAACATCATCAACATCCAATTCAGAATCATCGGTGTCATAGCCAAGAGCTGAACGCACCAAACGTGTATGTGACATACCAACATCGCGCCAAGTAGCGAAATATTGTTTGAAAGGTGCAGATTCTGCACCTTCTACAATACGATGTATTTGCGTCCAAGCAGGATATTTCTTAGTACGCAAGAATTCTTGTGCTTTTGTCATCGCATCGGTTTTCTCCTTTTGTGTAGCACCGCGGCCAACCCAAACATAAATACCTGAACCAGTGTCCAGTATGAAACAATCGCGTGTATCCAACATTTCTTGACGCAAAGGTTTTGTGGAAATTGGTTCAATTTTCAGAGTACCAGTTGCATCTGTGACCTTGTATAAGGTAACAGCATTTGCATCAGCAGTTTCAAATGCACCATCTTCTTCTGCGGTAGACTCTTCTGGTACTTCGCGCGGTGAACCAGAACCAAGTACTGTGAAGAAATTTTCTTTATCAATTTCTGTGCTGAATTCATCTGAAAAGAAAACAAAAAAACTTGAAATAAGATTGCAATATTATTCAAAAATTATGTTTTATTTCTTTTCTAATTTAAATTTGAATTATGCTTGTTAGAACTGTAACATTTACCGATAATGTTAACCCTTGCACGTCCATTGTGATCCTGATCTCTAATTTGATTTGCTGCGCTAATGGCTTTCAATTTCTCCACACGTTTCGCTTGTGCGCCAACATAAACGTAAATCTCATTACCAGCATCAAGTATAAAGCAATCGCCCTTGTTCATCGATGACACGGACAGGTTCACCTGACGTACACGTACATTACGTTTGCCTTTCACCTGGAAGAGACGTTTCTCGCCCTGGGCATTGGTTTGAACGTGCTTGAAACCAGTGCCAACACCACCTTGCTCATAACGTATACCTATGAAGATTGTTTGTAGAAAAGTTTAATTTGAAATTGTGGTTTGCATTCTTATTTCCATGGAAAAATTTTATAACCAAAAAAAATTAATAAAAAAAAATATGAAGTGTTAAATGAGTAGGTACGAGTATATTGGGTTGGTAATTGGACCAGTGTTAATAACACTAAAATGAAGGAACTAAAAAATAACTCATTTTGGAATTAAAAAAATGACTTAATATAATTATACTTAATATAATTATTAAATTTGTATAATTGGCTTAAGAAATATTATTAAAAATGTACAACATAACCAATACAGAAAAGTAATATATTATTATTCAAAAATTATTAATAAATCTTAAATTATCATCATCATTATTATTTTTGAGTAAACTGTTTCAATATACTTTAACATCTATTAACTATAGAAGAACAGGTCTGTAATGATAAATATTCATTCAAGTATTTAATTTTACTCCAACAAATAATAAAATAGTGGTAAATAAGATTATATCAGGCCACTGAAATAAATAAGTCTTAAACGGGATTAATACAATTATATTAATTATTAAGTAATAATAAATTACAAAAAGCTTTATTTCTTGAGTAGGTTCATCAAGATTTTAGATTTTAGAAATGGTATATACTAGTAATAGTTTTTTTTTAATCAAGTTCCACTACTATTCAAAAACCAACATACGTATGTTTTTATTATTGTGAATACTTTGAATAGAAACCTATCAATAATCGCATTAACAGTTTTAAAATTCATAATTTCTATATTATAATTATTTATATATATAGTTTATATAATTTATTTATCAATATATAATTTTATATATATTCTTCTCAATTGATAGTTTAAAACATTTGTATGAATATAATATAAAAGTCCCATCAAAAAATAAATAAATGCCTAATAGCCCTGAAATTATTTGCGAAAACTGACAGACTTGCCAACACCACGTTATCAAATCTCAGAATGATAACAGGCTCCTCGGGACCTATGCAGTTCTGATTTCAATTATTGCTTAGTCTGATGAAGTGATAAACAATAATCCAGTTAAGGCGTAAAGAGGGGTTTTAAAAATACCTCGAGTTAAAAAAGAGTAAAAATGCTTAAGTGCACCGGCTCAAATAGCTTCAACATAATAATAAATATTAAATTTGATTTCTAAAGTCAGTTATGTCGAAAGAAACTATTATTTTAACAGAAAGGTTTTTCGAGCAATAGTGAAAGTAAATATAATAATTTATAAAAGATTAAAAATATATTATAGTTCCCAAATTTTTTTTATACATATTTCTAATCTTACCATTTTTGAAATAACTTAGAAACAATTGTGATTCATGATCCTGAACTTCACGATGCTGTACTGGTCCACCATTAAGTAGGTCATCCAATTGTACTGTTAAAATAGCGGCAGCGCCAGCCTCATCCACAGAAGTTTCTGAGCCCAACCAAAAGTGTACATCCCAAGACAGTTTTTTATCCTTATTTTGTAAAGTCTGTGAAAATGGAAAATGGAACATAAGAAGAAAGTTAGAAAATATTTAAAGTGAAGAAAGCATTAAAAAAAATGAAAGCACACAAGATATTTGAAATGTAAAAGAAACATATGAAGCACGTAATGTAACTAGAAAATATATAAAGTAGAGGCAACCTAAATACATTGCACACGTGCTACAGGCTTTTGCTGCACTGCATTGGGTATTGTAGTCGTGCTCATAAAAATAAACTTTATAGCATAAAACTATGCAACATTTTTTTAAGTGTCCATATATGTCAGTACGCTAGAGTGAGTGAGTGTGAGTGCGAGTGAGTGTGAATGTGAATGTTTGAAAAAGATACATAAATGTGTGTGTTTAGCGTCACTGCTGCAACAGTAACTATACCATAATGTGTACTTTTCACATTTTCTTAATAATACTTTAATGTTTTTGTAATATTTTCATTTTTCGCCATTCTCATCTTTTCTTTTTTTTTTTTTCTTTTACCAAAGTTTTTCTCCAAGGTGCAATTAACTCAATCTTTAATGAGTTTTCTATAAGTTTGTACGTAAGTCCTTATGCTTCATATGTCTCTTGGTTTCCACAATGTATGTGGATATTCATTTTTATATGAAATTCAACTTTAACTTACATTTAAAACAATGAACGAGTCTCCGGTAAAAAATTTTCCATAGTTATTTTTTGGATACACAACTGGCTCGAAATTCTGTAATAGAAAAAAAACAATTTATCGTATTTTAAAAATAATTTATTCAAATATAATTTATATAATTCGAATAATATAATATAAGCGAATAAGCGAATAAGCAAATAAGCAAATAAGTATACTAATATAAAATGAGATATATGTGATCCAATAATTTTAGAACAAAACAGTATATAATACAGTTGTGTTTTTCATTTTAACAGACTGTACTTTTTTACTGCTATTACTACTATTACATGTATTATTATTGCATAGTATAAATACTAGTATTTCCAAATATGACTGTAAATAATATATATTAAATAGATAGGTAAAGTGGAAAGACGAATCCTTCTCAATTAGCTAAGAAGCCTATTTTGATTACACATTCCTCGTAATTGTGACTAAAAGGGTTTATTTGAACCAAGCGGACATATTAATAAATGCAAGTATCTGGCCGATATTAATATTCGAAATATCGTTTAATATGTTAAAGAATGAGACGCACAATAACTTTAGCTTGGCTGTAGATAAAGCAGGAGCAAGACACAACAGATTTAGGAACAACTAAAATATATTGTATTGTGGCGGTTGCATATTCACATTAATGTTTAAAATGATATAGGTTGGCCATGCAAACACGGAAAAGTAAATTATTGAAAATAAGATGAGTTGGCCATAAAAGAAAATTTTTAAAAACTAATAATATTTTTATTTAGTAAAAATAAGGTTGTCATTCTTTTGACGGTTTGGGAAATCTAAAGAATAAAACAACAGACACGTGTAATTTCAACACACAAAATTTAGTAATTATTTCTTGCTTTAATAAATAAATAAAGAATTAAATTAAGTAGGATAAACCTACAGTATTTTCATTTGCATCTTTTTGTCTCCATTATTTAGTCGATTATCAACTACTGCATTTTTTTTACTTAATTAGGATCTCTTTGTAGCTTTTAATCCTCTTCATTTTTACAAAATCAGGAACTCTTTTTTACTTCACCGTTTGAAATTTCAAAATTAGAAAATAGAAATAGAATAGAAAATAGAAACAGAATAGAAAATAGAAATAGAATAGAAAATATAATAGAAAAATGAATTTTTGTGCAACCCAATAATTATGAAGGGCATATAAAATGAATGTGTAAATCAATATAGTCTTATCACCAGCGTGAAATTTAGAAATTTAAAAATATCTATCTATCTACTTTTTCAACTGTTTGCTCTTCTATATGCCTGTCTATCAACTTATCTGTCTATTAAAATGCAAACTAATTTTGAGCAACTGTTAGGTATGCATGCATCTATATCTTTATCTATATTGTTTACGATATGTTGGCTTATTAATTCATTTTTTTTTCGGTTATTTAGATCTGCATAAAAGTATATAATGTGTGTTATTTTCATTTAATTTTTATTTCCCAATTGGTAATTATATATCTGTTATGCTCTCTTTTTCATTTTTTCCTTTAAATAACTAACCTTTTAAAAAAACTTTACACTATGAACACGAATGTAACTAAACAATTTTTTTATGTTTGTAAGCCATAATCGTTACATCTTTATAATTATAACTTTAATTCCATTCGATTGCTATTGACTTGTTTTACGCCTACAGGCCATAAAATTAAAACATTTAATTAAAAAGTATTTAAATGCACGCAATTTAAATGTTTTTGCTTAGAGTTTTTAATACGAAAAACACCGCGTTGAACTTGGCGTTGAGTTATGTGATAGATGGACTGTTTGAATGTTTAAATATAAAAAAATAAATGTAACATAAAATAATAAATAAATACAAAATAGATAGCAGAACGCAAAGGTAATGTATCTGGAAACACAAATCTTATATGTGAATGGTAAAATCTTTTTTCTGAAATATGTACTGAGGCATAAAATATTTTTCGAGTTAACTATAAAAACATTGCTTTTCCAAGCGCTGCAATAATATTTACATGAATTGAAAATTAATTTTTATTTTTTTATCTGAATAAATTAGGTGTGACTGCATCTACTATACACACACTTTTTTGAAGTAAATTAGATGCGACTGCAGCTACGTTTGAATAAATTTTAAAAGTAGTAAAAAAAATATGTATGTATTTAGACGGAAAGATAGCATTAAATACCGACAAACATTTGTCGAACATCTGTCCAATAAATTTGGATATACAGTAGCGCTGGATGTACACAGTATACTTAGAAATTTGCATAATATTGTTATTTCAAATAATTTAAAATTAATTTATTTTTGATATATGCTATATTATTGCAATAATAATATTAATAACAGCTATAATGTAAAGAAATATTATTAGCATATCAAATTAATGGATTTTATTTTTTAATTTTTTTTAGAAAAATTTCATAATTTTTTATGTTTCGAAATATGCTTATAGTAATTTAAATATTTTACGAATTTACAATGAAATATTTTAATCAAATAGCACTAAAACAATATATGTTTTAGAATTTACTAGGTAACAAGTATTGGACTATTAAACTTAGAAAGCATTTGAAAATCATACATACTATTAGAATAAAGAGGTTTTCTGAACAATAGTGAATTAAAACAACAAAAATTCATTTTATTTTATTTTTAAATAATTGAATTTTTGGTTGACCATACAGCTGTTTCAAGTATTACCAAATATCCATCATCAGTGATCTTGAAAATAATTATTGTATTTAATTAATCGTTAATAATTTTTGAGACTGCAAGTGCCAAGAATCGAACACGCGCCCTGCCAATTTTAAATCTCAGAGTCAGCGCACCATAACCAACTGCCACAAAACCGTACTCGTCTTTTATGTTTGCACACATTTCTTTGGAGTTTTGTTAATTTGCTGTGAAAGTTTTATTAACAAATTTACTTGCTGTGTTTATAGGTATTAGAACGAAATCATAAACCAGCTGTAGATTAATTGAATTAATTAATAATATTTTTCATCGTAATGGAACAATATTCTACAAATGTGTCCAGCTCCTTGCTTACGCCGACGACATTGACATCATTGGGCGTAGCAAGCGTGATGTTACAGCTGCTTTTGCTGCTATCGAAAAGGAATCTGCAAAAATGGGTTTAGCGGTGAATGAGGGAAAAACGAAGTATATGTCGGCTACTGGCAGAAATGTGCGTCGATTGGACACCGGGCTACTGGCTGGCGACTATACTTTCGAATCTGTCAAGGATTTCATCTCCCTTGGCACCGCCGTAACGAATACAAATGATGTCAGTCTGGAGATCAGACGAAGAATCACTATTGCTAATAGGTGCTACTATGGGCTCAAAAGGCTGTAGAGCTCTCTCTCGACAAATGAAACTTACGCTCTATAGGTCGCTCATCCTCCCTATGCTTCTGTATGGCATGGACGTTATCACAGAATGATGAAGCAGCACTGGGAGTGTTCGAGAGAAAAGTTCTTCGTAAGATCTTTGGTTCTCTACGAGTTGGAGACGACTACCGCATTAGAATGAACCACGAGCTGTACGAGCCTTATCACGACATTGATATAATTCAGCGCATTAACATCCAGCGGCTTCGCTGGCTTGGTCATGTCGTGAGAATGGATGAAGATGCTCCGTCGAAAAAGGTGTTTGAAGCAGTAGTTGGCGGAAGAAGACGTAGAGCTAGACCGTGTCTCCGGTGGAGTGATCAAGTTGAGGGAGCACTAACTGGATTTGATATACGAGACTGGAGAAGGCGCGCACGCAGCAGAGTCACCTGGGGAGACATGCTGCGTCAGGCCGAAACTCGGTAACGGGTTGTTATGGCCATATAAGTAAGTAAGTAAGTAATAATATTTTTTTTACTTTTAATATTTAAATTTTAATACTGTTCTGCTTGATTAAAATCGAAAATTGAATTGAACTGTTAACTAAGATAAACTCTATATTTCACATAATATAAATAAATATATATTTAGTTTTCTTTAAATAATTAAAAATTTATTTATTTTAAAATCTTTTTGTTACTTCATAAGTAAAATAGGTATATCCGATACTAATATTTGCAGATTCTGCTGTGATGAGGAAGAGTCTATGGAACATCTGCTCACCAACTGTGTTGCAATAGGCCACAAAAGAAACAAAATTTTAGGTGCATACCAACTAGAGGATGAAAACCTTCGGAAACTCCCTCCGAAGAAGCTGGTTCAATTCAATTCTAAATACGAAAGGGTGCACAATAGATCAAACTCAGTGCATAGGGGCCTTAGTCTAACTTGAAACCCCTAAACACCATTACGTTACTTTACATTACTCCATAAGTACTTAAACTTCTTACGAAATACGAAACAGTTTTATTTGCTTGACTTTTTACATGTATGTATGTATCAAAATTTTACTAATAACAACAATTATGCACTTTATTTATAAATAATAGATAAATAATATTATTTAAATAAAATAATATTTTTTGCCTTCATGTAAATTGAGCCTCTTAAAGTGTAATTAAAATGTGAGTATTCTTTTGAATGTTCGAATATTTTATTGCAATAAAAGGTAATTTTATGAATAAAATAAAATAAAATATACCTTTTATTGAATTTTATAAATATTAATTGTTACACATTGCTTAAATTGAATATCAATTTAATTGAAATTGTTCACACTATTTAAGCTTTGTAACTAATAGGATTTTTTATGGTTAAATAAATAGCGAATAACAATAAACGTATTTCATGCATACGCTTTTTTAAATTGCCTATAATAATAACAAATATGGATTTAAAAATATGTAAATATACATATCACATCAAAATTCATATACATATATAGACATTATTTTGAATGCAGAAATTATGCAAATAAAAGCAATTGTTACTTGAATATTTTCAATCAAAATGAAATATGATACTTTTTACAGAAATTAAAATGAATTATTGCATATATTAATATCGAAATCAGTCTTAATGAATGGCATAATTCATTTAAATAATTTTTAAAAATGTCACAAATAAGATTTAATTATATTGATACTTATTTATGTCAAATAACACAATAGAAACAAATTATCAC